CCCTGTGGCTTCCTCTCACATATTTATACATGGCTATCATATCTCCTCTCAGCCTTCTCTTCTTCAGGCTAAACATGCCCAGCTCCTTAAGCCTCCTCATAGGGCTTGTTCTCCAGACCCTTGATCATTTTAGTCGCCCTCCTCTGGACACGTTCCAGCTTGTCAATATCTCTCTTGAATTGTGGTGCCCAGTTAAAATAAATCTCATAAACAAGAGTAAACAATAAACAGTAACAATAACAACAAGCATTTAAAACCTATGGCTGGGCCAAATACAATAATTTATTGTCACTCTTGCACAATGAAATTACATGCCTTCCCCAGCACATGTCATAACAACTGTGGTGTAATGTAAAATTAAACTACATGTAGTTCACATTTGATCAGCCCACACACTGCCTTGCAAGAGAAAGAAAACATGCCACACAGATGAACAATAAAGAACAAGTATTTTACTCTTTGTAGTTGAGAACAACATATGTACAATCGTGTGATCACTTACATCAACTCACATAATGTCCTTTTATGAGATATTTAAAATGGTCTTTCTTTGTCCATGTGGATAAACTCCTCCAGCGGTCCATGAAGTGAGAGCACACTCCAAAATCTGTCTCTCTTTGCTTCACTCCTCTCTGTCTGCTGCTCCAAACACCTGCATAGCTGAAGCCTGAACAAAAATGTAACAGTATCCGAAAGTCCCAGGCTCAGCCTGTTCCCAGCCTGCTTAATTAGCTTCATTGATATTATTTTACAGTTGACACACACTGACTGATTACACGCTCCAACAAAAACAACACACCCATCCCTCCACACTCCCACCACCACCACACACACCCCAATGCCACTTCAGTGCGAAACCAGAGTTCAGTGTAGCCACAGCTCTAGGATAAAAGCTGTCTCTCAGACTGGGTTGTTGTAGGTTTTTTCGGGCTATATGGCCATGGTCTAGAGGCATTCTCTCCTGACGTTTCGCCTGCATCTATGGCAAGCATCCTCAGAGATATGCTTGCCATAGATACAGGTGAAACGTCAGGAGAGAATGCCTCTAGACCACAGCCATATAGCCCAAAAAAACCTACAACAACCCAGTGATTCCGGCCATGAAAGCCTTCTACAATACATTCTATCAGACTGTTTGTCCTTGCCTTTGTCATCCTGTGCCGTCTGCCAGATGGCAATAATTCGGAATATGCCAGGTGAGATAATAATAATAATAATAATAATAATAATAATAATAATAATAATCTTTATTTCTACCCTGCCACCATCTCCCTGATGGGGACTAGGAGCGGCTTACATGGGGCCAAGCCCGGACAACATAATACAACAATAAAATCAAAGCATATACAACAGACAACAACAACATTATCAAAATGACATTACTAATAATAATAATAACAATAATAATAATTCCAATACACAATTTATTATTTATTTATTTTGCGCATTTCTACCCCGCCCTTCTCAACCCCCGAGGGGGGACTCAGGGCGGCTTACAAAAGGCACAATTCGATGCCAACAACAGACAATAAGATAAAACATGTATCAACAGCAATTATAAACAATTAAAACAATCAAGTTATACATCACAATCAATAAAAACCAATCTAATGTTCAACGTTCGCCAGCTCAGAATCCGTAAGTTCATTCCACATTGTCAAATCCTATCAATTCTAGTCGTCATTGTCCTTTGTCTATCTGCCAGATTACCCAAAGGCCTGGTCCCATATCCATGTTTTTAGTTTCCTTCTAAAAGAGAGGAGGGATGTCGATGACCTAATTTCCCTGGGGAGTGAATTCCACAGGCGAGGGGCCACCACCGAGAAGGCCCTGCTCCTCGTCCCCACCAATCTCACTTGTGATAGAGGTGGGGCTGAGAGAAGGGCCTCCCCAGAAGATCTTAAACTCCGAGGCGGGGGATGACAATGGGTGGGCCACATATTCCGAATAAAAAACAATTAACAGACTATGATGAGATAAAATAGGAGCAGGACGTTTAAATGGAACTCATAAAACACACAGAGTTGTGGGCAGAACATCCTATTTGGAGGGCACGAACTCCATTAGCCAAAAACGTTGAGGGGGTGTAAAATATCATGCTGAGCACCTACTTGCCAAGCCAGGTTTTGAGGTTCTTTTTAAATGTTTCCAGTGAAGGGGCTTTCCTGATCTCCCCAGGAGATGGATCCCTGAGAATGCGCCGAGCTTTCTTAAGGCTGTAGGACTTATAAAGTTCTTCCGAAAAGGGAAGAAAGAGGACAACCCATGCTTCTCTGGGCAGAAGTGGTGATCCTTTGTAGCGCCCAGGGGCGGCTTGTCCATTACGCGAAGTAAGCGATCGCAGAACACTTTTTTTGCCAGGGGCGCAGAGGGCCTCTGTAAATGCCCCTCGACCGCCACTTGAGGAGCACCCCCTCAGCTCACAACAGCCCTAGCAGTCCAGGGGGAGCCTCGGCTTTCTTGCCTCGCTGCCGGGCGATCCTCTCCCCAAAGGGGCCGGGCCCTTGAGCCTTGCCTAGCCCCTCTCGTTCCTGCTCCACCCGGCCACCGGTGCGCGAGCAGAGCCGGCGCTCAATCGTTCTCCGCGTTCGATCCCTTCCCCATGACCGGCTCCCTTTCCCGATCCCCCAGCCCTCCACCCACCTCCTCTCCTCTCCCCAATCCGTGGGTGGGCCAAAGGGGTGGAGCCGCCACGTTTGTCCCGCTTTGGGTCCGGAGGTGTGTCTGAAGACCCCAGCGTGTGCACCAAAAGTCTCCTCTTCTCCTGACTTTCTCTTCAGCCATTGGGACCAAGAGAGAGAGAAGAGAGAGAGAGAGAGAGCCCCTCTGGCTGGAGGTATCTCCCACCTCCGCTCCCTCCTTTGTTTTTGCGCCTACCTTCAGGAAAGGTGGGCATCTCCACCTCTGTCTCTCTCTCTCTCTCTTGGTCCCAATGGCTGAGGAGAAAGTCAGGAGAAGAGGTGACTTTTGGTGCACACGCCGGGGTCTTCAGGCACGCCTCCGGACCCAAAGCGGGCCAGGCAAGGGAGCAAGTGCGGCAAGTGTAGTTACTGGGATGTATAGTTCACCTACAATCAAAGAGCATTCTGAACTCCACCAATGATGGAATTGAACCAACTATGGCACACAGAACTCCCACGACGAACAGAAAATATATATCAGTGATTGGTTGGGGGGGGGGGGGCAAAATACTGTTTGCTTACCTTTGAAAATTACCTAGGGCCGCTTCTAGTAGCGCCTTCCTATCTGCCTCTATGTCATTGCTAACCGTAATTGAAAAGCTTAGCTCAAAGCAATCTAGAGCCCAATGTTTCTGCAGTCTTGAAATTGGGCTGTTTTCTCTATGAATTAACTCAAGAGGGGCTTCTGTAGGACCAGCCCCCAAGAGCCCTTTACAAAATACTAGATTTCTACTTAAATAAATGGGTCTTTCTTTTGGGAAGGAAGATATTATGGATTAAATTATTTGACCTGTTCCAAATAGAGAAGTTGGTCCATGGAAGTTCTCTTAGAGAAGCTTTACACCCAGAGGTAATTTTCAACGGTAAGCAAACAGTATTTTGCCCCCCCCCCCCCAACCAATCACTGATATATATTTTCTGTTCATCGTGGGAGTTCTGTGTGCCATATTTGGTCCAATTCCATCATTGGTGGAGTTCAGAATGCTCTTTGATTGTAGGTGAACTATACATCTCAGTAACTACAACTCGCATATGTCAAGGTCTATTTTCCCGCAAGAGCGCCTCAAGAGCGCCCCTGGGCAAAATCAACTATACTGCAAATGCTTACTTTGCGTAATGATTGAGCCGCCCCTGTTTACACCTCATTCTTGGGGCTGGAGAATCTTGTCTTCATGCCTTCAATAGCTGCAGTTGTGGGTTTAAAGCAGTTGCAGTGTAATCCTGACTATATAACACAAGCTTTAAACTTGTGCTATCCCCTGTTGCTTGAGCAGACTGGTGGCACCTGCCTTTATGCCGTTGTTCTGAAATGTTTAGCATTCTTTCTGTCTGGTGGAATACAGGTCTCTTCTTTTCGGGCATCCTATAATTTTTATTTATTTATTTATTTCGAGCACTTCTTCCCCGCCCTTCTCAACCCCCTGGGGGGGACTCTGGGCGGCTTCCAGCCGGCACATATTCGATGCCTACAATTTAATACAATAAATAACATAACAATAAACATCAATAGTTAAAACATTAAATCTAAATAAATAAAAATGTAATGTTCGTTTGTGGGATTAACAGAACTCAAAAACCACTGGAAGAATTGACACCAAATTTGGACAGCATACACCGAACAACCCAATGTATGTCCTTCACTCAAAAAAAAAAGATTTTGTCATTTGGGAGTTGTAGTTGCTGGGATTTATAGTTCACCTACAATCACAGAGCAATCTGAACCCCACCAACGAAACAATTGGGCCAAACCTTCCACACAGAACCCCCATGTGGGCCACAGCAATGCGTGGCAGAGGACGGCTAGTTAATACAATAAAATCTCCTAAAAGGTCAGCCTGGTGGCCATCGTTTTGCCAGGTACATGAGTCCATTCAGCATATCGTAATCCATTTCCAAAGCTTTCAGTTGTCCTTATCAGTCTGCCTGATTACCCAAAGGCCTGGTCCCATATCCATGTTTTTAATTTCCTCCTAAAAGAGAGGAGGGATGGTGATGATCTAATTTCCCTGGGGAGTGAATTCCACAGGTGGGGGGCCACCACCGAGAAGGCCCTGTCCCTCGTCCCCGCCAGTCTTGTTTGTGACAAAGGTGGGGCCGAGAGCAGGGCCCCTCCAGAAGATCTTAAATTCCTAGGTGAGACGTAGAAGGAGATACGCTCGGACAGGTACACTGGGCCAGAGACGTATAGGGTTTTATAGGTCAAGACCAGCACTTTGAATTGTGCTTGGAACTGGAGCTGACATAGCAGAAGGGTGGTATGCTCCCTGTATGACGCTCCGGTGAGTAATCTGGCTGCCGCCCGTTGGACTAGTTGAAGTTTCCGAACAGTCTTCAAAGGCAACCCCACGTAGAGCGCGTTGCAGTAATCTATTCGGGATGTAACAAGAGCACCCCAGCTATGATCTCAGCTGGAAAATTGCACATCGAAAGAAACGGGGCATGAGCGATGCTCTTATATGGCTAACTTCAGCTTCTTTTTCTTAGCTTTCATGACAGCTGGCAATGAGATCTTGAAGGCAGTCTCGCAAGTGGTGCAAATTGGACTGAAGTTGCAGAATATTGACAAACACACCGAGCAGACATAACCAACTTCAATGAGATTCCTGTGGCAGAAGCAAGCTGCCCTGTAGTCCACGTGAACACGGGGTGGGAGGACGAGTTGGGATCGTTGGTCACAATCAGGGAGAAAGACCCACAACAAATATTGCAGAAGTGATCGCTTGTGTGGGACTTTCAAATAAATACCCCCAGTGATATCACAAGCCTGCTGCAAGAGCCCTGAATCAGACTCCAAAACACAGGCGTCAATCAAAATATTCCGCTTCTGGGCCGCAAAGATGACATTCATAAAATTCATATACTGCAGTGCACTGTCTTCAGCAGTTTTTATGACCAATATCCTGGATTTAATTTCCTGGCCGGTTGATTTCGTTTTGCTCACCCTGTGAATATAGCATAATGCTTTCGCAAGAGATCCAGCCAGCAATGTTTCTGCCTGTTTCCACTGAAGCCTGTTGATTATCAGATTCTGCATCTCCTCTGCAACTGCTTCATTTATAGTTGTTAGTAACTCATACTTTCCATCCTTGCTACCATGCATATTCGTTTCTCCAGCCTCACCAAAGATATCGATAACTGCCCAACGCTTTCCAGGATACAGGAAACGGCTTTCATGTATATGACTGGCTATAACAGCAAGCTTGTTGTTGCGGTTCATAAACAAGTGTGAGTTTCCCAGCACCATGCTTGCATCAAGGCATTTTGACAATGTAAGCCTTGAGCCTCTCAATGCCTGTTTTCCCCACCAGATCGGATTAGCGTCCACTACTATGACTAAGAGATTTAGCTCATCATCGCCACCCATTGCTCTCGGCAGCAGGAAGGAGCGCAGTCTGCCTCTATGTAGTTACCAAACATGCACAGATGCAGTTGGTTACGATGCTCTCTATAGCACAGCCATTTTCCATTCAGTTGGTGGTTCCTTAAGGATACGCAGACAGTCCAGCCTTTGCTGAGCACTCTTCACCAGGGCTGCTGTAGGTGAGATCCTCCTTCACAGTGACACCCAGGAACTTGAAACTGCCCACCCCCAGTCTACTGCTCCCTTATCTCTGTTGACTAAAAAAGGGCAATAAATGCAAACAGCAAAATAAACAACATTGGCTTCCACCTGCAGGAGGAAAGGTTGTGAGCTGAGTGCAAAAATGAGCCCCCCCTTTTCCGTAGGTGTTTATTTTCACAGAAGGCGTTCTTCATTTTCAAGCCAGTGAGAGCCCATTAGTAAAAGCTGACTCACTCTTGCACAAATAATAATAACTAGCTGTTCCCTGCCACGCGTTGCTGTGGCTCAGTCTGTTGATCTGGAATATAAAGTAATGAGAAAGTGTTTGTTTCTAATATATGCAATGGGTAAACAGTATTTCTTGCTGTTTCTTTGTCAGTGTTGATGTGGAGAGTGTCTGGTTTGCCTACTCTGGAACATGCAACATATCATTGTCCTTCTTTAAGGGTCCCTTTCAAATCTATGATACTATATCTCTCTGTGTGTGAATCCTATCTATCTCTCTCTCTCTCTCTCTATGGCTGGATGGCTCTTTGTCAGGTGGACTTTGATTACGTTTTCTTGCCCCGATGAAGGGAGTTAGACTGGATGACCTTAAGTATTTTCTGTTGATTATGGGGGTTCTGTGTGGGAAGTTTGCCCCAATTCTGTTGTTCATGGGGTTCAGAATGCTCTTTGATTGTAGGTGAACTGTGAATCCCAGTGATTACAACTCCCAAAAGTCAAGGTCTATTTTCCCCAAACTCCATCTGTGTTTGTATTTGGGCATATGGAATATTTGTGCCAAGTTTGGTCCAGATCCATCATTGTTTGAGTCCACAGTGCTCTCTGGATGTAGGTGAACTACAACTCCAAACTCAAGGTCAATGCCCACCAAACCCTTCCAGTATTTTCTGTTGGTCATGGGAGTTCTGTGTACCAAGTTTGGTTCAATTCCATCATTGATGGAGTTCAGAATGCTCTTTGATTGTAGGTGAACTATAAATCCCAGCAACTACAACTCCCAAATGACAAAATCATAATTTTTTGAGTGATGGTCACTCCTTGTGTTGTGAGACGTTTTGTTGCCAAATTTGGTGTAATTTCGTTCATTGGTTCTTTTGTTTTTAAGGTACTCATTATGCACAGAGCATTTTTATATATATAGATAATACTTACTTACTTAGGCGATCCCTCGTTGGACGAGTAAGATGGTCTTCCATGATGGGTTTCCTTGTGGATTCAAAGGTGGCTGTGGAGCCCTATTCTTGACCCGCATCTTCTCCCACAGTGAAGGCATTGGTTTCCAGGTGGAAGGCAGTCTCGGTCGGGGTTGGCTTGACGCGTCTTCCTCCTGGCACGTTTCTTTCTTTCACCCTCCACTCATGCCTCCTCGAATTCTGCAGCACTGCTGGTCACAGCTGACCTCCAGCTGAAGCACTCAAGAGCCAGGGCTTCCCAGTTTTCAGTGTCTATGCCCTCAGCACATAGAAGATGGCTTTGAAAGGCAGCAGATCACAGGAGCTGTCTTCATAGACCTGTCAGCAGCCTATGATACTGTGAACCACCGCCTCCTCCTGAGAAAATGTATAATATCACAAAGGACTACCACCTCACCCGCCTCATAGGAAACCTGCTACAAAACAGGAGCTTTTTTGTTGAGTTCCAGGGCCAGAGAAGCAGATGGCGGAAACAGAAGAATGGCCTGCCTCAGGGGAGCGTGCTTGCTCCATCCATGTTCAACATCTACACAAATGACCAGCCACTGCCAGAAGGGACAGAGAGTTTCATCTATGCTGATGATCGTGCCATTACTGCTCAAGCAGGGAGCTTTGAGATGGTAGAACAGAAGCTCTCCGAAGCTCTAGGTGCTCTTACTGCCTACTACAGGGAAAACCAGCTGATCCCCAACCCATCTAAAACATAGACATGTGCCTTTCATCTCAAGAACAGACAAGCATCCCGAGCTCTGAAGATCACCTGGGAAGGAATCCCACTGGAGCATTGCAGCGCACCCAAATACCTGGGCGTCACTCTGGACCGTGCTCTGACCTACAAGAAGCACTGCCTGAACATCAAGCAAAAAGTGGGTGCTAGAAACAATATCATACGAAAGCTGACTGGCACAACCTGGGGATCACAACCAGACACAGTGAAGACATCTGCCCTTGCGCTATGCTACTCTGCTGCTGAGTACGCATGCCCAGTGTGGAACACATCTCACTACACTAAAACAGTGGATGTGGCTCTGAATGAGACATGCCGCATTATCACGGGGTGTCTGCGCCCTACACCACTGGAGAAATTAACTGCTTAGCCAGTATTGCACCACCTGACATCCGTCGGGAAGTAGCAGCCAATAGTGAAAGGACCAAGGCAGAGACATCTCCAGCTCATCCCCTGTTTGGGTATCAGCCAGCACGTCAACGACTGAAATCTAGAAATAGTTTTCTAAGATCTACAGAGACACTCGCTGGAACACCTCAGCAAGCGAGAGTCCAAAAGTGGCAGGCTCAAACCCAGCACCTCAACCAATGGCTGATACCAAATGAGAGACTCCCCCCTGGGCACACAGAAGACTGGGCGACTTGGAAGGTGCTGAACAGACTGCGCTCTGGCACCACGAGATGCAGAGCCAACCTTCAGAAATGGGGCTACAAAGTGGAATCCATGACATGTGAGTGTGGAGAAGAGCAAACCACTGACCACCTGCTGCAATGCAACCTGAGCCCTGCCACATGCACAATGGAGGACCTTCTTGCAGCAACACCAGAGGCACTCCAAGTGGCCAGATACTGGTCAAAGGACATTTAATCAACTACCAAACTCACAAGTTTTGTATTTGTCTGTTTGTTGGCTTTGTTCTGTTAGAAATGTAATATAATGGACTGGTTGCCCTGACACACAAATAAATAAAGTGTCTATGCCAGAGATTTTAAGGTTGGCTTTGAACCCATCTTTAAATCTCTTTTCCTGTCTGTTTTCCATTCTTAAGTTCAGAGTAGAGCAACTGTTTTGGGAGACGGTGGTCAAGCATCCGGACAAACGTGGCCGGTCCAGCGGAGTTGATGGCAGAGGACCATTGTTTCAATGCTGGTGGTCTTTGCTTCTTCCAGCACGCTGATGTTTGTCCGCTTGTCTTCCCAAGAGATTTGCAGGATTTTCTGGAGGCAGCGCTGATGGAATCGTTCCAGGAGTTGCATGTGACATCTGTAGACAGTCTACGTTTCGCAGGCATATAGCAGGGCTGGGAGGACAATGGCTTTATAGACAAGCACCTTGGTATCCCTACGGATGTCCCGGTCCTCAAACACTCTCTGCTTCATTCAGAAAAAAACTGAACTCACAGAGTTCAGGCGGTGTTGTATTTCGGTTTCGATGTTGACTTTGGTGGAGAGGTGGCTGCCAAGGGAGTGGAAATGGTCAACCTGTTCTAATGTTACACCATTAAGCTGTATCTCTGGCATTGGAGAGGATTGGCTGGTGACTGCTGGAAGATCACTTTGGTTTTCTCAATGTTCAATGACAGGCAAGCTTCTCGTATGCTTCTGCGAAGGTGTTTAGAGTGGCTTGTAGGTCTTCTTCTGAATGTGCACAGATGACATTGTCATCAGCATACTGGAGTTCTCTAACAGATGTTGTAACCTTGATTTTGGCTTTCAGTCTGCTGAGGTTAAACAGCTTGCCATCTGTCCGATAAATGATTTCCACTCCGGTGGGAAGCTTCCCATCAACTTCCTGACTGTGAGAGCCGTTCAGCAGTGGAACTCTCTGCCCCAGAGTGTGGTGGAGGCTCCTTCTTTGGAAGCTTTTAACCAGAGGCTGGATGGCCATCTGTCAGGGGTGATTTGAATGCAATATTCCTGCTTCTTGGCAGGGGCTTGGACTGGATGGCCCATGAGGTCTCTTCCAACTCTTTGATTCTATGATTCTATGATTCTAGGTGAAGTATCATAGCGATGAAGATGGAGAATAAAGTTGGGGCAGGAACACATCCCTATCTGACACCCGAATCCACCTTAAATGGGTCACAAGACTGTTGCAAACAAATAGGCTTCTGCTGACCTCGAGTGACCCGGGCGTTTCCTCAAACCTCCGCCAGGGGTCGCGCCCGCCTCACCCGCTCTCCATTGCCACCGCCAAGTTTTCATCTCGCGAGACTTGGCGCCTTCGCTCCGCCCCCAGACGTTCCCCGGCCAAGATGGCGGCGCCCTGGTTGAGTCCCGCGCGGGGCGCCTGGCGGGTGAGTCCGGGGGGAGGGGAACGGAGCCTGCTTCCGGTTCCGGCAATGACCCCCCCCCTCTGCCCACGTCATAGAACCCCCAAGTGCCGTCCAGTCCGACCCCCTTCTACTACAAAGGCACCATTCGATCCCTCCTGGAAGATGGCCATCCAGCCATAAATATAGATACTTATGAGATAGATATGCAGCAAGGCTATTCAATGCTACTCAAGGTGGATAATAGCAACATTCACACTTGCCTCAAACAGACAAAAGAGTTCTTTCTCCCACCCTGGATATTATTCCACAGATACATAAACCGTACTTTCCTAGCTTCGAACAAACCTCACAATGGGCTGTTGTACGTTTTTTCGGGCTATATGGCCATGGTTTAGAGGCATTCTCTCCTGACGTTTCGCCTGCATCTATGGCAAGCATCCTCAGAGATAGTGAGGTCTGTTGGAACTAGGAAAGGGTTTATATATCTGTGGAATGACCAGGGTGGGACAAAGGACTCTTGTCTGCTGGAGCTAGGTGTGAATGTTTCAACTGACCACCTTGATTAGCATTGATGGCCTGGCAGTGCCTGGAGCAATCTTTTGTTGAGAGGTGATTAGATGTCCTCTCAGCCGACTGAAAGCCAAAACAGTTGTCCGTGTTGGGTCTGTGCTCAAGTTTGGCTAAGATCTATCATTGGCTAGGTTCAGCATTCACTGGATAAGGGTGAACTACAACTCCCAGAATTAAAGGAGAATCACCCCCAAACCCCAACTGCGTGCACAGTTGGCTATTTTAGCTCTGTGTGCAAAGTTTGGTCTAGATCTATCATTGGCTGGATTCAGTGCTATCTGGATAAGGGTGAACTATAACTCTCAGATTCCCAGGGCAATCACTCCCAATCTGCTTGTATTCACAGTTGTCCATGTTGGGTCTGTGTGCCAAGTTTGTTGTTGTGCTGTTCTAATTTTAGAGTTTTTTTAATACTGGTAGCCAGATTTTGTTCATTTTCATGGTCTCTTCCTTTCTGTTGAAATTGTCCACATGCTTGTGGATTTCAATGGCTTCTCTGTGTAGTCTGACATGGTGGTTGTTGGTGTGGTCCAGCATTTCTGTGTTCTCAAATACTATGCTGTGTCCAGGCTGGTTCATCAGGTGCTCTGCTATGGCTGACTTCTCTGGTTGAAGTAGTCTGCAGTGCCTTTCATGTTCCTTGATTCGTGTTTGGGCAATGCTCCGTTTGGTGGTCCCTATGTAGACTTGTCCACAGCTGCATGGTACAGTAGACTCCTGCAGAGGTGAGAGGATCCCTCTTGTCCTTTGCTGAATGAAGCATTTGTTGGATTTTCTTGGTGGGTCCGTAGATAGTTTGTATGTTGTGTTTCCCCATCAGCTTCCCTCTGCGGTCAGTGGTTCCCTTGATGTATGGCAGGAACACTTTTCCTCTGGGTGGATCCTTTTCTTGACTCTCGTGGCTTGTTCTTGGTCTTGCAGCTCTTCTGATGTCTGAGGTGGAGTCTCCATCGGCCTGTAAAGCCCAGTTTAGGTGGTTCAGTTCATCACCCAAGTCAAAAAAGAAGCACCATTAAAGCCTTGGCAGACCGTGCAAAAAGAATGTGTGAATCCCACCTCCTCCAAGATGAACTGAACCACCTAAAACAGTGTTTCTCAACCTGGGGGGTGGGACCCCTGGAGGGGTCGTGAGGGGGGTGTCAGAGGGGTCACCAAGACCACCAGAAAACACAATATTTTCTGTTGGTCATGAAGTTTCTGTGTGGGAAGTTTGGCCCAATTCAATTGTTGGTAGGGTTCAGAATGCTCTTTGATTGTAGGTGAACTATAAATCCCAGCATTTACAACTCCCAAATGTCAAGGTCTATTTCCCCCAAACTCCACCAGTGTTCACATTTGGGCATATTGAGTATTGTGCCAAGTTTGGTCCAGATCCATCATTGTTTGAGTCCACAGTGCTCTCTGGATGTAGGTGAACTACAACTCCCAAACTCAAGGTCAATGCCCACCAAACCCTTCCAGTATTTTCTGTTGGTCAGGGGAGTTCTGTGTGCCAAGTTTGGATCAATTCCATCGTTGATGGAGTTCAGAATGCTCTTTGATTGTAGGTGAACTATAAATCCCAGCAACTACAATTCCCACAGGACAAAATCAATACCCTCCTCCAATCCCACCAGTATTCAAATTTGGGTGTATTGAGTATTTGTGCCAAATTTGGTCCAGTGAACTAAAATACATCCTGCATCTCAGATATTTACATTACGATTTACATTACGAAAACAGCAGCAAAATGACAGTTATGACAGTAGCAATGAAACTAATTTTATGGTTGGGGGTCACCATCACATGAGGAAGCGGATTAAGGGGTCGTGGCATTAGGAAGGTTGAGAACCACTGACCTAAAACAAAAGATTGTCTCAGGACTAAACTGGATGGCCATCTGTTGGGGTGTTTTGATTTTGCTTTCTCTGTATGGCAGGGGGGTGGACTAGATGGTCTACGTGGTCTTTTCAGCTTGATGATTCTATGGTTCTCTGCTCCTCCCAGGCCTTTGTTTTCTATGAGGGACGATTGGTTGTTATTCTTTGCTTCCCGGGGTTTCCAGACCACTGCTTCCTGCTTGAAGGTATTATTATTATTGCTGTTGTTCTTATTTCTATTTGAAAAGAGACCCAAAGGCAAGCTCCTTGGACAGGAGGGTTATTGGAGACCCCGCTCTCTGCCTCCTGGACTTAAAAGGAGGGTTTCCCTTCTCTGTTGACACTCAGCACCTCTCTTCCAGAACCAAGCAGCCCGCGTCCGCGTGGGGAAAGGGGACAAGCCGGTGACTTACGAAGAAGTCCACCCTCCGCACTATATTGCGCACCGCAAGGGATGGCTTTCCCAGAACACCAGTGAGTGGCTCGGAGGGACAGGAGGGCTCTGGCATAGCTATGTATTGAAAGAGTCCATGCACCTGGGAGGCCCTTTGTGGCAAAAACGATGGCGGGGAAGAACGGTTTAGTGGGAGGATCCCTTGTCCTTCTGTTTGCCTTTCAGAGTCTGATGAAGGAACCTCTGAGGCTGTGGGCACTGCAGCTTGGGCTTCTGGTCCTCCAAGCGCAACCTTCTGGTGGAACTGGTGGTCTCTTTCACACCAACTAATCCAACACACCAGAAAGTCAACAGAACTGGCCTTTCCTCTTGCCCTTCTTTTCTTTCACCTTCCTTCCTTCCTTCCTTCCTTCCTTCCTTCCTTCCCTTCCTTCCTTCCTTCCTTCCTTCCTTCCTTCCTTCCTTCCTAGCAGTCCCCTGCCACGCATTGCTGTGACCCAGTCTGTTTATATGTGTTTTGTGTGTGTATGTATGTGTATATGTGCATATATGTGGGTTTGCGCATGTGTTGTAATATATTTTTAATATATTTTTTGCTTCTGAAGTTTCTTCTGCTGTGTTTTTCAGTGTTTTCATGAGTGATAATCACTTGTTGGCCTGATAGGTGTATTGTGTCCAAATTTGGTGTCAATTTGCCCAGTGGTTTTTGAGTTATGTTAATCCCACAAACAAACATTACATTTTTATTTATATAGATTTATTTACGACATTTATATGCCGCCCTTCTCACCTCGAAGGGGACTTATTATTATTAGCATAGTACTATGTCAGTTTTAAATATTACTGTATTGTATTATACCATTATATTGTAATATTATTGGTAATATTACATGTAATATAAATATATAATTATAATATCATAGTATTATTATTAGTATTATATTGCATTACATTATAATATTGTAAATATAATATGTATATACAATATATTATGTTGTTGTTCATTCGTTCAGTCGTTTCCAACTCTTCGTGACCTCATGGAGCAGCCCACGCCAGAGCTCCCTGTCGGCCGTCACCACCCCAGCCCCTTCAAGGTCAATCCAGTCACTTCAAGGATGCCATCCATCCATCTTGCCCTTGGTCGGCCCCCCTTCCTTTTTCCTTCCATTTTCCTCAGCATAATTGTCTTCTCAGCATAATTGTCTTCTCTCTTCATAATTGTCTTCTCTTTTCCTGTCTGTAATATATTACATTACATTACATTACATTACATTACATTACATTATATTGTTAACATGGCACAGGAGATAAGATGGAACTGTCTTCTGTCCCTCTCTCTCTTCACTCTGGCCCAGAGCGGCAGTTAGTGCTGGAGGGAGGAGTCCCCAGTAGATGACCTTCCTTTCTTCCCTGTAGGCCACCTTAATGGAGAGCTGGGGGCGGCAGAGCGGGCCGTGGAGGATGTCTTCATCCGCAAGTTCATTCACGGCACTTTCCATGGCTGCCTGGCCAACGAGATTGTGCTGAAGCGGCGTGCCAACACCCTGATCATCTGCGCCATCTTCCTGCAGAGGCTGCCCCCGTCCAAGTTCTACTTCCTGATAGGCTACACAGAAACACTGCTATCCTTCCTCTACAAGTGTCCTGTCAAGATGGAAGTGCAGACAGTGCCCGAGAAGGTGGTCTACAAGTACATCTAGTCCCTGTCATGGGAGCCTGGCCCTGGTCTGTCAGGGGGTCTCCAGAGCAGGGCTGGGGGCTTCTTGCTCCCTCCCCATGGGCCTGGCAGGACTGGAAATGGGGGCCCTGTTTGGTCTTGGTCATTTCCTGAGGAGGATGCCCACAAGCAGAGACTCAGAGAACCTTGGTTGCTGCTGTGAAAGCCATTGGGGTTCCAGGATGCTGCTCATAAAAAAAAAAATTAGCTGCTTTTCGCAGTTTCCTATTTGTGTGTGCCTCTTGTTTCCTTTCTCCTTTTTTTTGTACACCTTTATTTGGAAATTTCTGGCAAAAGCTACTGACTTGATTCACCCTTGAGGATGGGCAAACACACCAAGCTGCTGCCTCCTCCTTTGCACCCCTGTTACAGCTTGAAAGTGGAATCTGCTGCACTTCAGGGGAGGAAAGAGGAGAAGAACCCACAGGGCAGAAGCCACGTTGTGGGCCGCATTGCGATTCAGGGGGCAATGCTTGTGTACGGAAATGAAGCAAATTCAAGTGGGAGATCTGCTTTGTAGTTGCATTTT